TACAGAAGTTTATATTGTGATGATCCAATTATCATCTGTAGTCACTGCATTGTTTTTTTTCTTTTTTCTTTTTCTAGATTATGTGTAAACAAAATGTGTTTAGGTTGGAAGTGAATTAACAGCAAAGGGTTAAACCTGAAATGTTCTCATGTTAAAATAATAAAGGAAAATTAATATAAATATCTAATGTTTGTTTGTTTGTTTGTTTGTTTTTTGTTTCCTGGCTAGGAGAAGAAAATTTACTGGCAATACTGAAGAGGAGATGGTGGAAGTACATGATCCTTGGGTTAATAGATATAGAAGCCAATTACCTGGTAATCAAAGCTTACCAGTACACCACACTGACAAGTGTGCAGGTATGCCTCTGTATGTATTGCTTATCTGCTGGCCTGTTCTTAAGTCTCCTGTCCAGCTGCTCTGGTGCAGCACAGTATTCTACACTACCATATCACACTTAATTCTGCTTGCATGTTACATGTCCAGGGAAATTTCTTGTAAGGGGAATAATATATGTAAAAAAACAGAATCTGTTTTCTTAACGTAAAGGGGCCCGCTGTTGTCTTTTTGAAGTGTTGTTGTTCCACAATGCCCTTTCCAATTGCTGGGTCCGCTTCCTTTTTTCCTGACTACACCCAGGGTTAATCTATTAGATTTTTTTACCTTCTTTAGTTTAATAATAATAATAATAATTGCTAATACTTATATAGCGCTTTTCTGGACACTCCACTCAAAGCGCTTTACAGGTAATGGGGACTCTCCACCTCCACCACCAATGTGCAGCATCCACCTGGAAGATGCGACGGCAGCCCTAGTGCGCCAGAACGCTCACCACACATCAGCTATCAGTGGGGAGGAGAGCAGAGTAATGAAGCCAGTGGGAAATTTGGCCAGGCCAGGGGTTATACCCCTACTCTTTTCGAGAAACACCCTGGGACACCACAGAGAGTCAGGACCCCAGTTTTATGTCTCATCCAAAGAACAGCACCTGTTTACAGTACAGTGTCCCCATTACCACAGTGGGGTATTAGGACCCATATGGACTGCAGGGTGAGCGCCCCCTGCTGGCCCCACTAACACCTCTTCCAGCAGCAGCTTAGCTTCAGTGGGTTGCCAGTTGTGAGTTGCAGAGTGATATGGCTGCTGGCATATAAGGGAATGTTAATTTAATTAAGCATGTTTGCAACAGATTGCCACCAATTGTGACAAGTGAGTGTCATTCTTCTCCCTTCTCTCTGTTCAGTGTCGCTTTATAACTTTCTACTGTTTCATAATTATGTACAGTCTGTGATGAATTAATTACCTCCAATTGTTTTCTACTCCTCTTCCCTTCTTTACAGTGGATAATAAAAAGTGAAAAAAATAATAGGTGATGCTTAAGGGGATATTTTTATCCCTTTAAGCATCAAATGAAATGTTAAGAAAATATTGGTTAACAAAAAAGCTTTGGAAGCTGCCCTGATAATCTTCACTGACACAATCAGTTTATATATTTTGCAAAAATACCGCATTGATCATTAAACAGAGCTAGTTTATATTTGTTGTAGTACATTAATTACATTGTTTTAGTACAATGTAATAGTACTTGTACAGCCTTTGTTGGTAGTCGAGATTTAAAATGTGCAGTGGATGGAGGATTATTCCCTATATCACTGAATTTTTTGGGGGGTAATTACACAATTTACTGTTGGGAGATGAAAACAATTTTTGAAACCTTTTAGTTTAATAGATTGTAAATAACAGACATTAGAGAACTGTGTTGCCATTTCTCCCCAGTGATAAATCACCACAGCTCTCTGGACGAAGCTGCATTACAGTATATCACATAAACTTCGGAGGTGACTGCACAATAGTGAGACATTTACTACATTGTTGCATTATACCTTTAAGAAAATGAAAACCTGTGAGCTAGAGCAGGTGATCACATAACCACCTGGCTTACAGATTAATGTAGCCCCTCATCAACCTTGAGGAGAATATGCTAATAGTCATGATGAAAAATTGTTCTTTGGTTTTGGAAATTGGTTTAGCAGAGTGCCAATTAAAAATGAGCAGCATGAAAAGACTTACTAAATGTGTAGAACATTACTCAGAAGCTTTAAATATTGAAGTAAAAACTTCCTGCCTATAAATTTGATTTATAACTAGTCATATATTTATAACTGGTAGTACATTAAGAAAACATTACTGGGTGTCAATAACACAGGATGAACTGACCCAGTACTAATGATTGATTGTTGTGGTACTTAGTATGGTTATTAGCAAAGATTGTTCATGCATATAAATACTTTAGTGATAGAGTTTTTCATATTACTTTAAGTATAAAATAGTGTAATCTTAGTATAAAATACAAGCACATGGCTCTCTGTGTTTTAGAGATCTTAATTGCACCCATGCAGTTAGTTATAGAAACAATGTATATTATATTTGTTAAAATGTTTGAGTAATCTTGTAATCTGCAGATTTCACATAATGAGGGAAATCTTACAAGAATACTTCATAAAACAAGACTCGCACAAAACTTACATACATTCTGGGAGATCAGAGATTACTTTAATAAAGTGTTAGAAATAATATGAAAAACAGTTCAGAGAAAACATACTGTATGTTTACGTTACAATCCAGAGGAGGCCATTTG